TAGAAGGGGCCATGGAGGTCCAACAAGGAAATGATTATTCCAAACAGGAATGTCAGCGTTGTGGTAGACGAGAGTTGGTGATAAAAACCTCAGTACCACTGCGTGCCAGCATAAAATCTTCTTATGGAGTTGTAAAAATCTAGAGGTGTTAAACTAACGTAGGGGAAAATGAGCGGCCCAGTTAGACGGCCGAACCGGATGAAAATGGGAAATTTTTTTCCGGCCAGTGATAGAACGAAATAAAAGTCCTGAAACAATGGCCAGTGCAAGCCATGGGAAACACGTAGCGGCCGAAATCCTACGACGGGGAAAAACCTGTCAGCTTTAGGACGTGGAGGTTTTCACAGTTGAAGAATAAGGAAACACACATGATGTTATCAAAAATGTATGAATGTAACAGTCCTTACTTCGCTTACGGCAGTTGTTTTAGAGGAATGCAGAATTTCAAAGTTGGCATTCAAATCGAAAATCTGAGGCTTCGTGCATCCCAAAACTTCTTACGGAGAAATTTTGTCTGTTTGTTTTTCCCACCACCGAAACACTGGAAGCTTGCAGCCTAATGTTTCAGAAGAATCTTGCGGAATATCAGAGACAATGTCGGAAGATTTCTCCCCCTCCCCTCCCCCCCTTCCCCCCACTCCTCTTTTCATGCGTTTCGTGCTGTGTAACAGCATCACAAAACGCACATTTTCACGGGGTTGTCTGTGTGTGTGTGTTTGTTTGTGTGTGTATATGTGTGCGTTTGTGTGTGTGTCCCCCATTTTGTCCCGCACTTTCAACTCGGGAACCACAAAAGCTAGGCGGTTGAAATTTTGGTATAGTGTCCCGCCTCTCCCCAGCGCTTGACGCGGTAAATTTAAATTCAGCCTTCCCGTACCCGCCGGTAACGCGTACGGCCCCGTGAAAGTTTTTTACGGGCAAACTAATATCTCGGGAACCACGGATCTAAGAAGCTGAAATTTTCGGGTAATGACCCCCTGCCCATGCCCAACCTTGCCTATTCAAATTCAGCGTTCCCGCGCTCTCGAATATTACCTACGGCCTCGTGAAAATTTTGGCGGGAATCACGGAAAGATATTCACCCTTCAAGGTTTCGAATTCAGCTTTCATGCGCAGGTTCGTGAAATTTTTAACTATTTTCCAATGTTTGAACTATTTTTGCAAAGAATAAAGTATAAAGCAGTGAAAATCATTGATAGGCAATCGTTCGATGGGCTCAACAGCACAAAACGCATGATCACACCCGCTAATTTCGCGCGCGTTGCTGTTTATTCTGTAACCCATACATTGTTTCACCATTCACCACACAAGACATATATGTATTTTTCATAAGTATATGTCATACGTTTCAGTATAGGAAAGAAAGTTGTAAAAGTAGCACACAAAATTAAATAAATAGCAACGCGCACCAGACTAGCCGGTGCAATCATGCGTTTTGTGCAATTCAGCCCATCG